GAGAGAGAGAGAGAGAGATGAGCGAGGACATGGAGAAGGACATAAAAGATGAACAGAAGAGGCTGCTCAGATGAAGGAGAGAAGGGATGGAAAACACAAATGAGCAAAAAGCCGTGAAAAAACACATTACTAAGAGAAAGGAGAGGGCAGTGGGAACAGAGAATAATAGAGAGAGTCAGAGCTGGTATAGGTTATTGACTTAACTATTGATGAGCTGTAATTCACACTGTGGGAAAAAAAGTAAATAGCTCTTTACAGTGTACACAATTAAAGAGTAGGGGATCTGACTGGAAACATACAGTAGGGAGAGGGAATGAGAGAGAAAGCCAAACAGAGAGAGATTGTTATTGACATCAGGCATGGCTAATTGACCCTGGTCTGGGGGGTAGGAGTGCATTGTGGGTAAGTGGGGCTTGTGGCCTTGGGGTAGACATAGAGAGGATGTAGGCTAATGCACACACTGCCAGGTGTGAGTGTTAGCCCGTGTGTGTCGCTGCATGTGGGTGGAACGAGCACATCTGCTGTTCCCAGGGTAACAAGCAACATCCACCTCAGTCACGGTTCACAGTTCATTCATAGGGACCCAAAAGATTGAAGTGTGTGTGTGTGTGTGTGTGTGTGTGAGAAATAGAGAGGGGCAATGACACGGTGTCAAACTGTAAACAACTGCAACAATGCCTCTATATCAGGGACATGTACTGTATATGGCAACAGGAAAATACACAAAGATCCACTTGTGGTACACACAGATAAATACAAACCGCGCCCTATAGCCTGCAGACATTCCCAGCTGAGACCTTCTGGCAGCATCCCCATTAGCACTAATGCCACCATATAGTACTACATTCTTTATTCATTTACATATGGTAGTCCCTTTTCACGCTAACTGCATTTTACCGATACAGCAAAGCATAAGTAGACTATACGTTTTCTAGGGGAGGCTGAGAATGAGTAATGTTCTCCCCTTGTGCAAAAAGTAGGTGCTGTTAACAAACCAATGAGACTTTCAGACCCAAATTACTGCATTCAGGTGAATGATTATATGTTAAGTAACAGGGATGGTAGGAAAACAGTTTCTGGTCTCAGTCAAGCAGAAGTGAACACCTGTACTAATTACAAACAGTTATACAGATTCATGACCCCATTTACAGGAATATTTTGGTTAAATATAATACACTTGTGAAATTATAGTTTGATATCGCTAATAATTTGTTAAAGGAAAATCATTAAATTTTATCAATCTTTACATTGATAAAGATAAAATAGATTTTAGGATGATAAAAACTTTTGATCACAACACACAGGAAGAACTAATGTTAGAAATAACAATATTCTGATTTGTTTTGCCACCGATTTGTCAAGTTACCATTTTAGTATAATCAGTGACTACATTCAAAGAGATACACACTGTATATGCTTCCTTGTTTGATCTTCTCTCCTGCTGAGAAACACTAGCTGGAGGAGTTTAGAACATCAAACAAAGAGGAATAAATTACGTCACTTTTTCTTCTACCCTTTTTCGGAGTCTCTTATGCCTGGCTTTAACACTGCTTCCCTGAGGTACGTGTGTGAGTGTGCACATATAGGTACGTGTGTATGTGAGGTACAAGGGTGGCTGTGGCAAGCATACGGAGAGAGAAAAATCTCCCATAGTCCTCTGCAGTGTGACTTCAAGCAGATAAGGACAGTAAAAAAAAACAACTTTGAAGTTTTATTCGGTTGTTAAGAGGGCAGAGAAGGGAGGAGGAGGAGGAGGAGAGGTGGGCCGGAGTGCAAAACAGCAAGGGACACTGCAGGTAAAAATGCTAACAAGAGAGGGAGACAAGTGTGATTGGTTAACAAGATGAAGAATTTGTTTGAGCCCTAATCTAAATCTTCATCACATCCATTTGTTTACGTCCTGAGACACCGGCTTGCCACGCTAACAAGATTATCATTAAATCAGCGAATGCGTGAGGTCCTAACTGCGCACTCCTCCATTTTGTGCTTTCAGGTCTTATCTCTTCATCAATTTTTAAAGAAACCCATGACTTTTTTGGGGGGGGATACACACGTACAAACACACACACCA